TCATTTGTATATTTTTGATGTCAGATATGATATAAGCTTATTACTCGTTTCCATGATATCTTATTCGTATATTTTAATAGCAAAATCTTTGTTTTTAAATGATTGAAACCTTTTGCTGATTGTTTTATATTTAAGGAAGCATATGCAGAGCAAGGAAAATAAATTTCCATACGGATGCCGCTCAGGCTGTGGGCAAAATTCCAATTGATGTTTCGAAACAGCAAATCGACTTAATGTCTATTAGCGGCCATAAAATTTACGGACCGAAAGGTTTGCATAATGTAATCGATTGTTTCAAGCGAACGCCTGTTGTTTAGGAATCGGGGCTTTGTACGTTCGCAGGAGGCCACGTGTTCGATTAGAAGCACAAATGTCTGGCGGTGGACAGGAAAGAGGTCTTCGCTCAGGAACTTTACCAGCACCGTTGGTTGTTGGATTAGGCGTTGCTTGCAAATTATGTCGCGAGGAAATGATGGTAAATTAGTTTGAAAAATTTCTAAATTTCTTTTGAAGGTTTTGCTCTCTAAAATGCGAACCTCGTCATAGACATTGTGGATTTCTACTGTCAGATTAACTGATCTCACGCCATGTCAATCATGGAGAGGCATTTTAGCGCAGTTATGAAGATCTCTCATGAACCTGAAACGGCTTTCTTCTAATTGGGCAATGGTCATCAGAAGCTGAGAGATTTTCTCCTATTTAAAGAAGATGTGTTAGATGTTACAAAATGAATGAAATTTAAATCGAAGGTTAAGATTCTCTGTCCCAATCGCTTGTGAAAAGTTATTTATTGCATTTTTTCATCATTGAACTCACAGTGCCTTCTGGTAGGCTCTATTGATTAAAAGGCCTAGAAGAAGCTAGAAAGGAAACTCCAAGGTGCCGAGAGATGAACATATTGAAAACGCACAGCTAGAATCGAGCAACTTTTGGAAAGGTGGCATAAGTTATGCATAACAGGTTAGGCTTTTGTGCAGAAAATGAAGTCTATTGTCATTAGACTGATATTACAGATTTATCACTGGTGATTGCTACAGTGAATTCTGCAGCAAAACAAATGTCCTTTGGTCGTATTTAGTTATGACTAAATTAACGGCAGGGGTAGCCGAATGGTGGAGCTTGCTGAGAAGAATAAGTTCTATTATGAATACTTTTTTTCACAAAAACGATGCGCATGGGAAACCTCGAACGACGTCACGAATTAAATTGTTTTCTAATTCAGTAACTTGAAAAACAGTGAATTATGTCCCGGTGCTCAAATGCTTTAACGCAGAGATGGACCACAGGCTCGTAAGATGAAAGTGCGCCTGATTGAGCTTTAGAAACAAGGTAATTGATGACGACGGAACCCATTCCACTCGGTGTGGAAACACTAAAGAATAACCCCTCGCTGTTCAAACCAAATAATTCAGATGATCTGTTCGACGTTCTTCAGGGAAGGCAAGAAGAATGAGCAGCAGAAGCTTTAAACATTAACGTAGTATATCAGGATATAACGAAGACAGATACTGAAAAGGCGAAAGCATCTTTTGAAGGATTATGATGGCTGATCGAAAAATCACGACCCAAACGAAAGACTTTGTGGAGAAACAGATATGAAATCAAGTTCGACTATTCGACTTTAAGGCTTTAAGGAAATGGGAAAAAAGTCGTGTGAGCATTCAAAGACGTTGGTAAACGAAATTTGAAAACAATGTAAAAATGAAAAAATTAAATCAAAGATTGGTGGTCGGGAAACGTCAAATTTTGGCTCTCAAACTCAATGTAGACGACGGGACTTATCAAAGACAGGCGAAAAATTCTAGAGATATAAGGTTTCTACAGCAAACTACAGACATGAATACAGTGACACCCTGCATGACAGTAAGGATCTTGATGATACAGAGGAAATGATGAAATTCCAGATATCTTGCCAGAAGAAATGCTATATCCGAAGCAAGAAAGGTTTGCGGACGAAGACGTCATTACGGTAAAACTCGTGCAATCAGAATGTTGAGCTTTGATCAAGGTATTAGAACGTTTATTTTCATGTTGTATGAAGGGACTGAGAATTCGACCATTCTGTTATCCCCCCCCCCTGCGATTTCGTTCTATAAAACAGGAAACAAAGAGAATCTGAAGAATTACGTGCAGATCAGTTTGTTGCCCAGTCATCTACAAGATTTTCGCGGAGGCGTTAACGAACAGACTTCAAGAAAAACTCTACGCTACTCAGCCAAAAGAGCAATCAGGATGCAGAGATGGATTTAGTACGATGGATCATGTCCTAGGTGTTACAGCAAGTAATTCATACAAACATTAAATATCATCTTCTTCTCTGTATCGAGTTCATCGATTTTCGACTCAGTTTACATCTGTTCGGTGCTGGTTTTTTTTGTGGAATCATTGAATTAAGAAAAGGTGCGGAAACCTCTTCGCCGTGATTTAGTAGAATGCAACTGCTAGTGTCAAATTTTTCGCTAGTACAAAGAGTTTCGGTATCGAAAAAAGTGATGCTGTATCAGCGAAGTTATTCACACAGCCTTAAAAGACTTTCAAGGCACTCATTTTGGAAAATGAGGGTCGGAACAATTGGACTCTGCCTAAGTCATATAGTTTGCGGATAGCATTCTTCCTTTCAGGTTTACGAACAGAACTTAATACAGAATTGAAAGATGAAGGACATCGACATAAAAGCAGGACTGAAAATAAGCCTTAAGGATATTCTGAATTTGTTGAACAAATGCGTTATCTCTTAACTTGTTTGAAGTCAACTAGCATGCAGAAATCTTTGCAGCGGAGAGTCGATTATGTAAAATCAACAGAAAAATGTTAATTGCATGCGGTACTTTTCGAAGACTTAAAACGTTTCCATCCGGGAAACTGCTACCGTGTTTTTGAGCGGAAAGTTATCAGTGTACTCCCATAAGTGCTTACTTATGCTTGTGAAACGTGGATCCTGAGACAGAAAATTATTTATAAACTGTAGATTACGCAACGCAGCGTTGCGAATAACAGGAAAAGATAAGAAAACGAAACGATTGAATAAGCAAGAGCAAAGCAAGAGTCTATAATGTCATTGCTCAGATTAAGTTAATATTGTGACAGTCGGGTTGTATATTATATTAATTATAAAATAATTTATTGCACTGAATGCGCAAGAAAAAAAGATGCGCTGGATACCACCTTAGCCATTGTGCAGGTTAGGCAATACTTACACTCTTACAAGCGAAAGTGATTCAGTCATCGTAGCTAACTGACTGATCGACTGTCTGGGGTTGCTCAGTCGTAGAGCGTTATAGGTGTCAGCTTGGAGTTTCATTCATTCGCTTTTCTTTCTTCTGAGGCTGATAAATGAGTAGGAAACAGGACACCCTGTGCTGGCAACATAGCTGTCGACTCTGCTTTTAAAATATAAAGTGCTTCTGAAATGAGATCAGCACTGCATCAGTCTTTATTTATAGGAAGCCGCTATCGTGGAAATATATGGAAGACCTACATTTCAACCGTTACAAACGTTCTTTTTTCTCTCATGATACGAACGCGCACTTTAGCTCCCTTCTGTAGTAGATCAGTTATTTCGTCATTTGAAGCCAAATAAGCTTGATTTACGTCAGTACTCCGTAGGAGATAACAGAATTAATTAGGATTATACGTAAAATCGTAACATCTTTTTGCTTCTAGAAGTCTAATGGAGAGGGTTTGTTAGGCAAAAATTCCATGATCAGTTAAGCACCTGTGGTTCATAAATGCATAGCAGCGTCACAGTGGTGACTGATTCAAGATGCGCTTACCCAGTCTTAGCGAGGGTTGTTATACTTCGAGTAACATAGAGAGTAGCACCAACAGAAATTGTTTTTTAACCGGTTAGCATGAATTTAGGTTTAAACCTATCAGCTGTTCTGTAGTATATTCACTATTTTTGATGCCGTATAGGGCGGTTAGATATCAGTTCTGCATTCAGTGGATGATTGCTTGTGGTAAATTTCTGTACTGATATATGGGTAGGTCTTAAAGGCGTTGCACGCATTTTTTAGCCATGATCGTTGGTAGACGGGAGTTTCACTTGAGCTGTGATTGCATGATCGTTGTATAGCGCTGGACAGCTCTGACTATAAAATTAAGATTTCTGATATCTGGACTCCGAGACTCCAGTTCTCTCAGGCCAGCTGAAAAAACCATTGCATTTTATTCGTTATTAACCCTAAAAAAATTTTTTTTACGTTGTTGTGTCGAATAGATTTTACCGTGAAGTTTCAGCTATGTAATTCCCCTCTCAAAATTGCTGGAGGGGACGGGGACAACACCGAGCATAAAACATCCTATAATCAAATGTGAACTAATTTACGAATATGCTGGTAGTAGAAGTATTGAAGCCTTTCTAATGCATAAGTGTATTTTCCACCCGGCGGACGATAATTATAAACACTAATGCCCTGGACTCAAGATAGAATTATAATGACATTCGCTACATGGCTAGATTCGAAAGACATGCAGAGGTACAGACATTGATCATAAGCATGTTGGCATCCTTGCTGTATTTAACAGAGTACATGTGATTTCGCTGTTTAGTTTGACATGCAACACGTCAAGAGATTATCCGACCGTCTCGTAAACAAAATTACAAGTTCTGTTCCTCAGGTTATTCGTAATGGTGATCCGCTAATGTCGTATCCTGGTATGTATTTTTTTGTCTTTTCGTTTATTATATATTCATGATTTCTTAGGTTGTGTCAACCTTTCGTTCTACTGCGTCGAAGGCGAAAGTCTCTTGATGGCTTTGAAGAATGTTGCCCTTTCTTCTGGAAGGTGCCGACATTTACTCTTTACTGCTATTTTTTCTATTGTTCTTTGCTTTAACCATCGATTAAAATGGAATATACGGGGTCCAAACCTCAGAAGATTTTACATGTGAGGTATCACTTACTTGTTCTTTTCGTAATTCACTATTTCCTACAATTATTTTCGTTTTATAAAGTAAAGAAATTAGTTCAGCAAGCATTACTGCATGCTTATATTAAATGAGCGAAAAAGTTCTATGAACACGAACGTACACGGTGTGAAGAAGCTTGAAGAGAGATGTGAATGTGTCAAAGCCTCTTACGCAAACTTCAGTCCGGATCCTAGTTTTGAGCGAAGATGCATCATGAGCTCGTCGTGCAGTTGTTTAAGCGCTCTATCGCATGTCTCATTACAGGCAGTTTCAACTAAAATGCAGCCATGTGGAAGGCTAATAGTCAGCTCGCGCAAACGACCAGTAAGCAAACGTGTGCTTCCATAACTCGGATGGCTTTTTTGCTGACTCATCACTGTTGTAGTGGGAAGCGTTACTGTATAAATTATGCAATGTATGCGGCACTTTATGTGCATACAGCTTAAATCATATAGGCGAAGTAAAGTGCGTACATCAGAAACGTAAAATTTGTTCAGTTGTTAGGAGCAAAAATGAGTTGAGCAATATTTATTTACAGGGAAATGTTTCCGACAATCCAAATTTGCATTATCGAAATCGGCCCAGTTCCCGATGTTTTAGAATTCCGCTTTTACAGTAATTTTGCTTTTGAAAACTATAAAGAATTATATTTATAGTCGTTGGGATGGTCTACCTTGCCTTACACTTTAACGACTGGCGTATTTATAGAACCCTCTTTTCACCGAGATTTTTGAATTGCTTGGCTTCTTCGTACTTCACACATGCTGATATCAAAAGTGTGTTATTTTTCTGAAGGCTGTGTCTGTGAATGGGTAACCATTATGAGGTGAATTTTACCCATCTTATATATTGGTTGTCTGAAAATCTAGTCGAGTGCTCTGGTCGGACCTAAGCCTCCGGTCTTTCGACCGAAGTTCAGCGTTCTACCGATTAAGCTGCCTTTCACGTTTTTGTCCACAGTTTTTTCAACTTATGGTTTTTATGTCTCAGATAAGTTTCGTTTCTTGTAACTCTCATGGTTTGTTAATGATATTTATTTTTTTGCTTATTGTAGTGCTTGCACTTCTGCTTCACTGGAGCCCTCTTACGTTTTACGAGCTTTGGGTGCCGGGGACGATCTTGCACATTCTTCGATTCGATTTGGCATTGGACGTTTCACTACTGAAGCAGAAGTCGACTATACTGTGGAAAGGTGTGCAGAAGAAGTTGAAAGATTACGAGATATGAGGTATTTTGGCATTTACTTTTACTCTTATTCTCGTTCAGTAGTTCGTTCATTTTTGCTGTTTTTTGGGATAAATAATCATAGGTTCTTCATATATTTTTTCAGGTATTCTTCGTCTAGACGGATTTAGCGTGGCATAAATGCATGAAAAATGACTTTTGAACAGCGCTGGGTTTCTTAAAATCCCCTTCTTTTAGAGTTGCATGGACCGAGTTAGAACTAAAGTGGAATAAGTTGGGTCTTAGTATTTTGGCATCCACATTAATCTTGAATACAGGCTTGTAATGAATCCCAAAATACAAAACAGTAATAATCAATGAATGGCGGGCTTGTTTATTCATACGATGTAAGTTTGCCTGAAAGACACATCTGATTACGAACTCGGATTCTAAACAGTCTGTGTAATGTACGGTTAAACTTACCAAAGCTTGCTGTACAGCTGATTTCGTACCCGGATCAAAGAAGGAAGTTGCATACCTAGTCGGAAGGAGGAATAGCTGAATGTCTGTATTAATTCCAGAAGAAATCATGCTGAATGGTTTCATGATACTATTTTTCATGAAAATAAAATTCGGACACCTTTGATTTGACTACATATAAACTTAATTAAAATCCTGTGAATACGTGATTTCCAGAAGGGCAAGAGATCGTTTCCGTTCTTTTCAATCGCCCAAGACGAGAAGTTAGCGCAGGGTTATTCATAGTCATCATCCTTTTATACAATGAAAAGTGACGTTTTATTTGTAAGAACAGTGTCCGTGAAAATCTGACTGACCTCATTGGTTCTTTTCAGCAAGATCCCTTTTAAATACTTGTCATTGAATAATGTTGTGCAACATGTGATTATCGTCTCCAGCATCATTTATGAAATGCATATTTCACAGCTCGATTCTGCCGTACATATATGAATGAAAATAATGACCATTTGTTTTAGCCCTTTATGGGAAATGGTTCAGGAAGGGGTTGACCTGAAAACCGTTCAGTGGGTTCAACACTAATTACACAACGCTGTGGTTGCTTGCGTTGGTTTTGTATTAATGGTATTTCTGTGAGATCAGTGCAATTTTGATGCCGTGTTGAAGCTGTCCTTCTGTTAATTGGTGTAAATGTATTGTTTTACTTTTTCTTGCTATATTTTATGGACTGCTAACAAATAAATTTTCTTTTACAAAGCCTGACGCCTGTTTTACAGCCATGGTCAAAATTGTAGTCTTTTGTCACATGGAGATTTTCAATATCTTCGCATATGCAAGGGCACGATGCGGCGGCTATACGCTACGGCTCTCGTGGATGCTAGTGTTTCGAACCATATCGAGAAACGACTCGTCTCAGAAATCCCATTTCAGCAGCTTCTACCCGGGCTCGAAACTTTTCAGTCATGGGAACTCATGACCGTAGATAAGCATGGGGATAAAGAACGACTTGAACACCGAGAGCTTAGTTTTCAGACTGAGCTCTGCTTTAGTCACAATGGATCGGGCTAGTTCA